GGGATTAGTATAATAATAATATTAAAAACGATTTTTAACACCAACGTAGTTCTGAAACTCGGCAAATTCATCCACCCTTTTGACACTATGTGCGAAGAAATTGTAAACATCTCTGACAAGTTTGTCGACTGCTACGATAATTTTCTTACACGATTGAAGAAGTATCAAAATTTAAGAAGAAGTGTCCCTCCAAAATTCATCTAAAAATATATCACTTTTGATACACTTGGATCAACACGGTCACACTGATTGTACATCCGCTCACCTGCCTATTGTCTCTCTCTCCAGCTTACTATGCCGCTGTGGGCACGCCAAAGCGCATGCGCAACCAAAACGCCGCTGGCATCAATGTTGTGTTTGCCGCAAACCATTTTTCTTTTTCTTTTCTTTTTGCCCACCTCAATTCCGTTTACCCACCTTCTTTCTTGCTGTATGTCTTTGGGAACGAGCTATATGCATACATACGCTTGCTTAGTCGTGCGCTCTTTCACTCTCACTTTCATGCTTGCGTCACGCGTCTGGCGTCTACTCTAAATTGTATTACTTCATCGCTGCGATCATTAGTAATTTGTTGTCAATAATGGTTTAATAATAAGGTTAATTGTGTTTTGCATTAATTTTTTTCTTTTTGCTTATTGGATAGGTAGCTACGTGCGGTGAAGGTCATCAAACGTTTCGCATAATCCATTAACATACAATTGTAAAAACGAGAGAGATTGTGTAATCATATTAATCCCAAATTAACTCTTACTATTTAAGAGAAACAGAGAACAGGTGAATTATTTTTTGTAGATGTGTGCTCGCGCCCTGAGGTAAAGGGTTATTTGCATATTATTTCCGTTGCTGTTGGTCTCCCTGGGAGAGAAAAAATCAGTGTAAAAGCGCAAACAGTCAACGACGTAACGTAGAGGTAGGTTGACGCAGACACGATCTACCTTATGGGATTCGCGTGTTAACGAAAACTCACCACCGCATGGCGGTGACGTTGCTATTGTTTCTCTCTCTATCAACAGTAAGTTTTATATGCTGCTACGTACGTCAACCTACGTTTACGCTACGTCGTTGACTAACTGCGCCTTTAGAGCGCGATTACCCACGAACGTTTACGTTGCGTATCGTAAAAGCACGTACAAACATATCAAATCAAAAAGTATGACAAGAAAAATTATACCAAACTGAGATCTGTCTTACCAGACGTTTTTCTGTCTGTAGCATAATGAATTTTAGCCAAATTATTTTGCTGGTGCCACACGGATTATTTCTTCAGCATGTTCGTTAAAAAACAAGTACTGACTTGATTATCAACGATCCATGCACTAGGTCTGAAATAAAGTGCTCATAATAGGCTATTATGGAAACAAGCCGAAATTGTGAGAGGCAAATGCCTTAATGCCCAATTAGATGTTCCATAACTTTGGCAAATATAGCCGCTTGAGGCACTGGCAAAATACCAAAACTCACTTGATTCCTGTTGTTATGGTTTTGGCTTTGGTGTTTATGGTATGGTTCCAAGAATTGGAGCAGATAGCATTTCTTGAGTAAATGCGAGTTAGGCGCTAATCGTATGTTGAATGAAGAAGGTGGCTGAACAGGACGAGAGTAACTTCCTGTGTAGTGCCTCGCTAGCTTAATATGAAAACTTAATAGGCCAATATATGTATACTTAGATGCTAAATATTACCTACAAATTTTGACAAATCATTTATGTTCACTTAACTACATAAGTTTTTGATTTGCTTCAGTACATTATATTCTTTATATCTTGACACCGAAAACGATCAAAAAGTCTAGTAGAGAAAGAAGGCTTCTAGAAACTGTTAGAAACATATTGAAGGAATTAACAACCAATACTTGAGCGCGCATTTATAGCCACTGGTAGACGCGGCATTGACCAAGAGCAGTTTACCTTAGCAAAATATTTGCTTTATCATGCTCTCAAACACAAATCAATATAGCTAATTAATATATGTATGTATGTTGAGCAAAAGATGTTCAGCTTTTTATTTATGCAGTAATATATGCATAAATATTGTATAAATTATACAAACTCAAAATATTCATCTGTCCACCGGTTTTAACCATTTACATACAGTAGCGCGGGCCTATAAAAAGGTACATAAGTATGTACATTAGACTGCATCACTCCCCATACAAAAAAAAAAACAAACATCGGTACTGTGTTTCCATTGGAATTAAAAAATCTATTATATTTTCCAAAATATTTCGGAAAAATATTAAGATTTACGCGAGCTGAACCAATTTGAAAATACCCGCAAAAATGGAGTTTTTTTATAAATAAAGATAGTTTCTTAAAGATTTTTTTTTATAAAAAATCCCCTAAAATGACAAAACGGTTTAAGCTTAAAAAAAATTGCATAAAAATATTTTTAAAAAATAATCAGATTATTGATGCCGTTTTTTAACTTTTTTTTTTAACTGAACCTAAACTATTCCGACTTAGGCTTGTGAGGTTTCATTGGAAAGGTATTTTCTCATATTTGAATTTCTTTGCTAATAAACTCATTCAAAGGACGAAAGAGAAAGGTAGGATAAACGAGAAAGGTACGATGCCGCGGCGTAGCGTGACCTGGTGTGTGCGCCGGTCGCGCGGGGTACGCGGGACGCGAGCGCGGCGTGCGCGGTGTGGCGCGCTGACGCGGGCCGCCGCGAAGCTAAGAAAATTTAATGTTTGAAAGAGAAATAATGTCAATGGATTTGATTTCGTTTTTAAAAAGGTAATAATGTCAATTGACTTTATTTCGCACCAGGGTGGGAAATAAAGACAATTGACCTTATTTCCGTTGATCTTATTACCTGTCACCTACATTATTGATCTAAACCAATTAGCATAATTTTGTTAAAGCATTGACTGAAGTTCACATCAGTATATAAACATTAACGTAGTCGTTAAAATCAAATGAACGATTTTTTTCAGTCTCACCGCCTCAATCGGTAATGCAAAGGGGTCAAAGGCCAGATGCCCCTATGGAGACTAAAAAAATTAAAAACCATTTTTTTCATTCCCTGAACTGTCATTTTCTGAACTTAGGCCTCTGTACGCCATGCCTTAACCGTCTCCAATCGGGGCAAGATTTTTACGTGATATCATCGACTATAGCAGCATCGATGTAGGGGTTGAGGCTTAAAAAATCGGATCTAAAAATTTGTTTCCTACATTTAAGGACCACCCTAATATACATACGTAAACATACTTATGTGGAAATACATGAATTCATACGAATTAAATACGCTTTAAAACGTTTATGCTATACAGAGATTGCAATTTATTACTAATTTTATCGTGCGCAGAAGTTAAATTTCTGTATATTAACCAGACAGTAGTTTGAGGAACTGTGAATGCCCTTTGCATTTCTAAATCAAAAATTTCCGAAATACAATACTAATTTACATAAAATTACAGTTAAAGTTTAAAAGCGTTCTGAGCTAACGGACCGAATTCATTAAAAAAAAATCTGCAATCGAATTTTCCGTTGAAATATCTATTCATAAATAAATTCTATTTAGACTATTTAACAATACAGTCCGACATTATATTTGGGAGCACAATGATTCCAACTCAGGATGAAACCACATCTTTCCACATGCTCAGGTGAAATTTAAATGTAGGGCCATTTTAAATTTAAAATTTTTTGCCTGATTTTTATTAGAACAAATGAAAAAAGGGGGATACAATTCGTAAAATCTGTGGTCATAAGCAATAACCGCCTAAGTCGAAAAACCTGAATTCGAGAAAAAACCTTTCAAAAATTTGGATTGTAATGCCAACCTTAGGTGGAGACCAAAATACGTTCGTTTAAAGCTTTTTAGATAGCCTAGCTGGCGAAATTGGGATTTCACATACACATGGAATAGTAGTTGCAGAATACGATAGCATATATAATTCAATTCTCTCTTATGTCAACTTAGGCGGTTATTGCTAATGACCACAGAAATTTCGTGAGGAATAGTTTTGTACAAGTTTTTAGCTCAACAGGTCTTTCACGAAAGGGTAATTTTCACCCCTTTTGGGGAATTCTGAATAGAATGGCATTTGAAGGTCGCTATAGGGTTAAAATATTCTGGAAAATTATTCGCCGGAAATTATTACGGGTATTCTCAGAGGGCTGGAACCTGCGAAAGTAATTTCGGAACACTTCTTATCCCGAAAGTACGTCTAGTGTCCAAATTATTGGTACTAAATTCTCGGCTGCCAGAACATTAAGTTCTCTGTGGTATTTCAGAAGAGTCCTTGATGAATATACTTAAGTAGCTATCCAACGCCCTTAGAACAGATTTTCCTTGTTTCTTTGTTTAAACAAGTGGGGTTGGTGTTCCAGATCTAGTGAGGAAAATGAGCTTATATCTCATATGAAAGCTTAAGACCGGTTCAACGTGGTCTGTGGTCTGGGTTTTAGCAATGGCACAGTCCAAACCACTTAAAATTTCAAGGTGCCATTTTAAGTGGATTTATTTGAGTTTACCCGCCTTGTAAAGCATGGGTGCCGCCTCAGTAGCTGCTTTCTCTTGAATTGCTATGTAGGGTGGTTGCAAATTAAGAATAGATTCCTTGCAGAGATCTTGAATGCTTGTGAAAATGCCTGTCCTGCCTGTCCACATTTTTCAGTAAATTCATATGCATTTGAAATAATTAGCAACACTTTTGTGGTATACTCTTTTATTTATATTTTTCTTTAGGTTATAATATTTTACTCTGACCTTAGGTTTGCAAAATTAACATAAACTATTTGAATATTGCGTTTTAAATTTTATTATTTATTCACAAACACACACTAAAAATTAACTTTGTCAAAATCAAGTTAACTCTTATACATTATGGTCAGCAATAAAATGAAACACGTTTTTCAACTCATTCGGCTACAATACACCTTCATAATTAAATCAAACGACAGTTGTATGCGCACATATATTTTATCAAAAAGAAATAAAAAAACCTGAAGATTATATTAAAAATATTTCATTTAATTTCTTTTACTTTTCAGTATCTATTTTAGTCAACGCAAACGCTTCGTAGTGCACGTACAGTGGCCCTGGACACGCTGACTAACTGATTGCAGTCAACCATCAACGCCAATAAAGCACAAATTTACCCACACACACACACCCACACACACACATTATGAGGCAACAACAGTTATTTGCAATCGCCGCCTGCCTATGCAGCGCCGCAGTAGTGCTCGTATCCGCTGTGCCCGTACCTGCCGACAACCAGGAATTAGATGTGCTACAGATTCCACTTTCAGATGACAAGGTAAGCGTACTTGTAATGCAAGATTTAATAGATTCACGCGATTCAGTTACATCAGCACTGTAGCTGGAATTAATGGTTAGTTAACTAATGAGTGAGTAAATATTTATCTTTTACATATCTGTATACATACCTACCAACGATTAGTTACATACATACCAAATCAGTCAGGCGTTGGTTGCATGGTTAAGTAAACAGCTGAGTTCATTTGAATGCAGTTGTAGTTGTGAAAAGTGTGAATTTTGTTAACAAAATTTTTTTAAGGCGGCTTTGTTGTTGTCTCCGTTAATTGTTTGAAGTGATGCTAAATGTCAACATGCGCTGAAAGTACTACATGATATTACTATGTACAGCTATCTGCGTTTTATTTTTTGTTTTTGTGTATTTTGCTTTTACTTCACTTGCGGATTTGTTAGATAAGCGCGGAAAGGTTAAGTGCCACGAAGTAAGCGTCTCCCATTACAGAGGCAGAAAAAGGAAACTAAATAATGAACCAGTACTTTATTACAACTACTTTTTTCGCGATTGCATCATTATTAAAGGGGAAAGGAAGAGAAAGAAGTAAACACGTATTGCGAGTCCAAAAATACTTTTGCCCATCTGTTTAGTTAAAGCGGGTATCGGAACATTCAATAAGCGCTCACGTCTGAACCAAGTTTAAATCAAAGATTGTCGGACATTGGACAATCTTACATTGTTTCTAGTTTCCAAAAATTCAAATATGAAAATCATACATACAGGGCTTTTCGAGGAAAGTGACTTTAAGTATAGAGAAATGGTTGAATAAATAGTTTGGTATTATTATCGTACATTCGCTAAGGATGTGTTCTGGCGTTTCTTCGTCGATTTCATAGAAACGACATACGCTACTGTCTGAAAGATTCATCTTACAGAGCTGATAACGCAAGGAACAATGTCGCATGAAATAACCAGTGAGCGTTCGAAAGTCATCTCTGCCTAGATTTATGAACTTTTTTGAGGGTTATTGTGATGGACAGATGAACGGCTTAGCTTGTCTTTACCCTGAGCATGCACTCCAGTGCCTATGGAATTTTTTGTCCACCCACTTGTTTATGCTCTCCTTTGCGTGTGCTTTGGTGAAACCACAAAAGGGTTTCGGGCCATGCAATATTGTGATAGCTCCGTGTTTTGCTCGGCGGTCCGCCTGTACATTACCATCGTGACCCTCATGTCCTGGCACTCAGCCAGTAATACTGTGTTCTTGATTCCACGAGCACTTAGGGTGCTGAGGCAGTCGTTCACTAATTTTGATGTTGTTGTGTGGGACTTCAGCGCTAGCAAGGCAGCCTGACTGTCCGACATAATGCAGATGTTTTTAGAAGCTGTGCCTCTTTTGCGGCATTCTCTGCTACAGATCTCTATCGCACAAATCTCCGCTTGGAAAATGGTGGCGTAGCTGTCCATTGGCTACGATCTTTTAAACTTCGGCGCCCAAATATACCAGCTCCAGTTTTTCCATCTTCAAGTTTTGATCCATCAGTGTACCAAACTTCATATCCGGTTTTTAATTCGGAAGTAACTAGGATTCTCAGTGCCGAAAGGTGGGCTGCCTCTCTATTAGGATTGGGAACGGTGGTATGCCCACAAGAGAACTGAGTGTAACAGTGTATCTGAGTATATTCCATTGTGACTGGTGGGACATTTTACTGTACAATGTGATCAATTGTGATTTATAACTATGTCGTCGGAGCTTATATATTAGCGAAAGATATTTTAACAAGAATATCAAACGATTTTTCAGTTTTATGTAACTATCATGTGAAAGAATGTGACTGGTGGGACAATGAAAATAACTATATTTTACCTTTTTGCACTCAACGACGTATTTTAGCCAAAACACTTAATGTACGCATACGATGTTTTTGTGCTGTAAAATATGAGCTATACACTTTCCTCTTGAATAAAAATTAGGCTTATATGTATAATCTTCGTAGGAACATTAAAAAATATTTAAATTGGTGACTGGTGTAAAGTAATTGTGCATTAAGTAAATGTTTCCATAGACAAAAATTACAACTTCCTTTTATTTTTTTAATATCCTAATATCCTAGAGATAATTACGGCATTTAAAAATTTATGTCGTCTTTTCTCTTTTTCATGGAATGACCCATTATTGAAATTTGTCGATATATAGAATCGAATTTTTTAGAATTTTCAATATATATCGAGTTATCGAAATTAAAAGGTTATATAAACTTATCAAGTTATCACTGCTTATCGCATTTAATCGTGTTACGTGTTATCGAAAATTATCGATAGCTTTTGAAAAATATAGAAGTATCATAATTAACCAAGTTATCTAATTTTTAAAGGTATCCAAAGTTTATCGAGTTATCGATTTATCGATTTATATCGAGATGTGTAATTTTTGGTTATCGAAATTTATAGAAATTAGTAGTAAGGTTGTATAAACTTATCGAGTTATCACTGCTTATCGAATTTTATCGTGTTACGTATTATCGAAATTTAGCGATAACTTTGGAAAAATATGGAAGTATCATAATTAACCAAGTTATCTAATTTTTAAAGGTATCCAAAGTTTATCGAGTTATCGATTTATCGATTTATATCGAGATGTGTAATTTTTGGTTATCGAAATTTATAGAAATTAGTAGTAAGTTTGTATATACTTATCGAGTTATTACTGCTTATCGAATTTTATCGTGTTACGTATTATCGAAATTTATCGATAACTTTGGAAAAATATGGAAGTATCAAAATTAACCAAGTTATATAGTTTTTAAAGGTATCCAAAGTTTATCGTATTCCAGTTCCTGCCAAAGTCTTTCAAAGAGTTTCAAACCTATCAAAAAACTATAGTTACGTTTTAGTTACAAAGCAGGAGATTTTTCGGTAAGTAATATTGTACGCTATAAGTTGAACAACGTGCTAAATTAAAAGACCTACTCAAGGGTCTTAAGAAACTAGAAAAACGGTAAAATTTCTACAGTAACTGGCGCTTAGAATAGATCTACAGTTGATTTTTTGTTAATATTGTAATGTTTTTCGAGCTATTTTTTTTTGTTATTTAAAAAAAAAAAATATAAAAATATTTTTTTATAAAAATATAAGCTTGAAGTGCAAGTTTCAACCGGCTAAAAGATCTCGTTGATTTTTGGAATTTTATTTTGGATACTACTTTTTCGGTTTTTTTTTATATACAACAAGTGCAATTTACAAAACTTGGCGTTGATTTTTTGAAATGTTATTGCTAACGATCTCCCGCGTTTTATTTCATAAGAAATTCATGGTTGTATGAAAGAAAGTGCGAAAATCCGTCACCAAAAAAAAAAAATCTCAAAAATCAACGGGATTTTTAAGCCGTTTGAAACTTACACTTCATTAGACTAAAATTGCATGGGCTATAAAACTGCACACCCAAAAAAATTCTAAAGATTCAGAGTAAAAAGTTGAAATTTTGATGAAAATCTGTTGAATTTTCGTAAATTTTGTATAAAGCTTGAAACAATGATTTATGTGGGTTTTAATAATATTTTTATAGAAAAATAACAAAAAAAATTCAGCTCGAAAAACATTGCAAATATTCAAAACAAATCAACACGTGGCCATTTGTTTGAGTCACTGTTTATATGTCACAACGCGCATAGTAGTTCCCTCACATAATAGTATTAGCATTCCCCTCTCGCGCGTCTTTTCCAAGATTTGGCCTGCGGTAAATACCTGACCCATGGTTGATTTTCCGAATGATTTTAGAAATATGATGCGTGAGCGTCATATTTAGTCGACTGGTGAGACATCGACTGAGCAGGTTTAAGCTGGTGGCTTGGGTTTATGTTCTCAACCAGTTTAGGTAACATTCCGCTTGGTGGAGAGTCGCTAGGAAAGAATTCAGCAGCTTGCAAAAGATCGTCAGATTTCTTTATGTTACTATACCAAAAATATGAAGTATATTTTAAAATGTTTACTAAGCGTTTTCAGTAAATTGATTTATGCGTAAAGTATTTTAAATTTTTCTAAATATGCATTCACAGCTCAAATTTCCATAAGCCTTTAAAAAATTTCGAAATGTCCTTACAAACTTTGTTAGGAAGTAGCTACATACATACGAACTAAAAATCAGTTTACAAGCAAGCACACCTCGCATCACGCAATGACTCATACAAAGTCCGTATCTACGCATTTCACTTAGCAACGAAATACGTAGTACTATATGCGTATTAATTGTTTACAAGTTTTCCCTCTTCATTTCCCCCTCTTAATAAGTTTCCCACTGAATTATCATTATCCAGTTACCCACTTACAATAGTTTCCTTTTATGTTTGCATAAAATTCAGGTCTCCAGGTCTGCGTAGCTAAAGCAAATCGCCACGAAATCCTGCAAAACCAGCTTCAAACTAAATACCAGGCTGCACGGAAATGACACATTGAGACACTGCCCAGTTGGCGAGTGGCTGAAAATGAGAGTATTTATTACAAATATAAAAACATGTATTTATATTTTTACAAATGTACGGGCAAGTACATACATACATATTTACGCGTAATCGTGCAGACAGCAAGGCTGCTGTACAAACAGGCTGAGCAACTTTTGCCGGCCGAAAATTCGCTAAACCAGCCACTTTCAGTAGTCGCAATTATCAGCAGGTTACTTTTTGGTCTGCGACAAAAACCAGAAATAAATATTCGCAACAAAACACAAAAATCAAAAAAAAAATATGCATCAAAATTAAATAATGCAATCAGACGCTGAATGTGCAACAAAAAAATACTCAAATAGTCCAAAGAAAAAAAAAATAAATGGAGCTGCTGTGACGGGCGCCGGTCATTTGGACAAATAGGTGAACGGCTTGCTGACCGACTAAAATTTTCCGTTAGTATAACCATAAGTAAATCTTAGTAGTATGCATGTATGTATGTATGTATGTAGTTGTGCACACACTTACATATACATATACTTACGTACATATGTTTGCGCGTATTTTTTTCGCACTGCAGCTATTCGGATGTTAAGTTGTATCACT